ATTCCTTTACCCTGCTTTATTTTCTTTCAGAACACATCCATCGCAACTTGACCTCCATTACATACTTACATGTTTCTAAGAATGTGAGTTCCATGAAGGTGAGAAATTTGCTCACTGTTTAGGTCCAACACTTACCAGCAGGATCTGACCTGCTCCATAAAATATTAAGCAAGTATCTCAGTTTTGGGCTGCTATAACAAAGTCCCAGAGACTGGGTGGCTTAAAAACAACAGAAATTTATTGCTCATAGTTCTGGAGGCTAGAAGGCTGAGATTAGGGTGCCAGCATGGTGAGGGCTTCTTATGTGTTGCAGACTACCATCTTCTCATTGTATCCTCCCTGGGGGAAAGAGCTAGAGAGGTCATTGGGGTCTCTTTTGTAAGGGCATTAATCCCACTGATGAAGCCTCCACCTTCATGACCTAATCGCTTCCCAGAGGTCCCACCTCTTAATACCATCACACGGGGGCTTAGGATTTCAACACAGGAGTTTTGGGAAGACACAGCATTCAGTCCATAATAATGAGTGAGTGAAATTGTAAAAAAGTGAAGAAAAGAAAAATGGGAAAATTTTTGAGTGAGTGAATGCATTTTATGTACTGTTCTATTAATACAAATAGCTTTTTAAAAATGTAACAGTGCATATAGGATATTTTCCCATTAAAAAAAATGATGCCCTGTATTCCATTTTATATTAATAAGTTAACACACATTCATGTAGCCAGTCCTTTATTGATGGACATCTCTCTGGTGTCCATTTTTTCCCTTTTGCAAATATCTTTGTTTGTATATGTACATACTTGAGGGAAAATAATAACATAGGGTAAATGTCTGGCAGTAGAAATATTAGGTTAAAGGTCATGTTTGTCCTTAATTTTTAAGAGTATTACCAATTTGCCTCCTAAAAAGGTTGTGCCAGTTAGATGACCATCCACAGTTCATGCAAATGCCTATGTCCTTGCCCAAACTGGGTATCATCAAGCTTTTAATTCTCGTTAATTTAATATCTAAAATAAATCTGATTTATACTTATTTAATTCTGAGTGAAGTGGAACATTGAAAAAAAATTTTTTCCTGCATTTGCTGGAGTGTTAAAAAAAGAAAACGATATTTTTGATGGATATTGATATTGCTTTTGCTGTGAACTGCTTGTTTATTTTTTA